AAATCTATTAATTAACCTTGTAATTGCATTCGCAGCTCTTCACTGGTCTCTGCGTTCCTTTCTCTCGGAAAAGTTTCTGCACTGGCTACCGAATCATCACTGTTTGGTGATCTTAAGCAATGCTTTTCTGGGGTAAGCTGCATTACATTTATCGTAAGCATCTGGGACGACCCTTGCTGAAACTTCTGTAGGTTTGTAAATGAGATTAATTAACACGCTTATCCAGTTCATGAAGAACGACAAACTTCTAAAACTGTTCGATATCAGACTTGAAGTTTACTCGCCTATTAACAACTTTTTCTTTCATTTTTTTTTCTCATCATCTAAGATACGTTTCTCATATACTTTCATCCCTCTTACTAAAACAGAGACATAACGAATCAATCAATTCTTATTATCTTTGCATCAAGATTTTGTACTTCAATTTACACACCTCTGTCCATTTCATATGGTATTAAACTGATATCAAGCTAATGTTAAGCAATATTCCTGTGCATATCTTCAGTCACCAAAATTATACTTCAACTTTCACAAATTCATTAAATTTGTTTGACCATTTTAAAGTGAACAGTGATAGTTGTAGAGAAATTTCTTACTATGTGACGTGGACTAGACGGACTTAAAGAAGGTGATTCGTCGATCGGACATAGTTCAGGGACGGTAGCACTGGAGAGAAGATTCCTTATTCCACTATATTCTGAATGACAAATATCAAGCGGTTTTTTCCCATCATTATCAACACGATCACGAATTGCACCCGCGTGTAACAGCAACCAAACCAACTGTAAACGAAGCTTTTTTATTACTGGAAATAAATATGAACAGCGAACTGCGGTGAAACGCAGTGTTCAACACAAAAAAAAATTTTGACTAGAAATTCCCTGAAAACTATAAAGATTAAAATTTACCTTTTCGTTTCCACTCGCGACAGCATCATGTAAGGGAGTATCATCGCAATCCGACAGCGCATTAACATCTGCATCGTAGCTGGAAATGCTCAGGTCAGCCAGTTTATGATCTGACGGATTACACAGAACTTCCACAAAGACAAACTAACCCAAGAAGAAGTTTAGCAACTTTGAAATGTCCATGATAGCATGCTTCATGTAAGGGAGTCCAACCAGCGTAATCCCGAGCATTGATAAGTGCACCTTCTTCAATTAATTTCCTACACAGTCGGTGTTCTCCTTTACGTGCTGCTACATGCAATGGTGTCTCTCCACGCTCATTCTTTTTATGAACCTTCAAAATATTGAAATAAATATCACTGATAAATTCACTGCAACAGTCTGACCGACAACACGGAGTATATAAAACAAAATACCTTCAAAATACGTTTTCTTGATAAGCCAGGTGATGCACTGATTGCTTGAGATAACTGCAAGCTGGTCGAAGACGAGTCGACCGCCACTTGCATTGGTTGTTCCATCTCAAAAATTAGTAAAAAATAACAATAAAACTGCATCCATCCAAAATCATTTTATGCAATGAAGAAATAATTGTACACTTCCATCTTCTTTCTAATGAGATTTTATATTTTTTTCATTTTCCTAAGGTGACAAATTTAAAGGGATAAATAGAAGTTACGTATTAAGTGAGAGATAAACTGTTTCAAAAAGTCGGGGAATCCAACCTACTGAGGTACTATTTATTTGTGACTATAAAATAAAAAAGTATAACAAGGTAAGGACTCCACCATTTTTTGGATGCGTAAGACTAAAAACTTAAGGAATATAACAAGAATTTATTTCTGGAAATAAAGAGGTTGAAATGGGAGCAATCGAAACAACTGTATTGGAAGGAGTGGAATTGAAGGAGCCAAAGACAAGTAATTTTCCAAAGAGAAAATGATAAGGGAACATTTATTGCCTCTTTGAGGTTTGGGAAAAAATGCCATCTATCTTTACACTCGTTAGAATTTAATTCATAAAGTTATTCAGAAAAAGATTGACAAGTAAGATTGCTTGAGAGTGCATATTATTCGTAATTTTCCTCATAACTTATTCATAATCTCTATTTTTCCCCACTCCCTTCCCCAATTTTTTCTGTTGAAAGATTTTGTGAATATTAAACACACCCACAAATGTGAGCTACAACAAATTCATTATAATGCCCCATGATAATGAAATTCTGACGAGGTTTGTCGGATGTCAAAGAATTTGATCGGGTGCAAACAAATCGAAAACAGAAAGAGTGTATGATGACAGCGACGGCGGAATGGCGGAGGGGAATGCAGAGAAATGGAGGGCAGAGAAAAAAGTTATATGAATCTGGCAACAGTTGGTATTGCAGCAACAAATAGTCATACTAATCGAAACACAGATGAGGACACTCACTATTCGCATTTTCTATTATTCAGAATATTGGAAGGATAATGAATTATGTCAAGCTGTACAACTAGATACCAACCAGGTGAATTTGCTAGCAAAATTTGGGTCAAAAATGGTACTCAAAAAACAACTGTCTGACAAAATTGATAAACCACTGGAAGGCTTTTGAGATCGATTACACTGACCTTCAGTGATCAGATGGGGAAATAAATAGTAATTTCTCTAAATTTGTGGATCACTAGTTCAGCAGCTAAAAAGTTAATGAAAATAGTAAAAACAGTTCAAGCAAAAATACTAAAACCATTAACTCATTAAGCATGATGAGTCACATTTTATACATTGTCAATCAAATATTTAAAATCAGAACAGAATGAGAGAAAATATTTGTTTAGAATATGTAGTTCATAAACATTACTGTAAAGCAAAGTTTAGCAACAACAATTTACAATAGTACTTCTTGCTACAAGTGACTGAAGTGATACACCAACGATCAGGCACAATTAGTATGAAGAAAGTTTCATAACTCACAACGTTTTATAAATTGATTTCTAAAAATTCATTCATCATGACAGATGCAGAGATCGTCCCATACTTTAAAATTGTAACTTTTGTAACTAATTTCATTTTGATATGCGTTGCGTAACTTCTATGGTTTAAGACTGACGATTCAGATAAGTTTTGAAAAAAAGTACAAAATTTTTATTATGAAAATTAAATCCCAATACAAAAAGTTTTCCGTGTCCTACTGACTCAATTTTTTTAATAAAAAGTAATAACAAAAAAGTGGAAGTTTGTCCGGACTAAAAAAGCTGCGAGAAGAGTTATCAATCCCTCACGGAAAAAAGTAAGGGTGGAAAAAAGTAAGTAAAGTAGTTAAACCTGTTTTATGATAGCCAGCTGCTGGCGTATGCTCACTGGATAAGCTGGTAAAGGTGAGCTGTGCGCACGCTGTGACCCATTATTGCCAGTAGGTGGAAGGATTTGTGTCGATGATGTCGACGAGCCCTGCCGTTGCCTAGCTCCTAATGTTCGACGTCGTCCAGAACATGAAATTAAACATGTTTAATTTGAAGGAAACGGATAATTCAGAGCCTAAGTACATCAGAGCCTGAGTTTCAGTTTGAGCCATCAATATGGCTATATTGAATTGCAGTTCCAAGGATAACTAATAACAGAGAGAGTCAAATAACTTTTTTTTTATCTACAGTTAAAGTCTAACAATATAGCCATATTGATGACTCAAACTGAACTGAATTATGGTCAATTTGTTTCTGAAAACCACTTGCTTCGCAAAACTTATGGAGACCCCAACATCTTTCTGAATATATCATAACATGAAAGAGCATGTATTAATTAAGAATACTGGCGAATAATCCATAATAAACTAAAAACACTAACTTTATTTGAGAATTTGTTTCAGAGTGAAAATTCCTACTAAAAATTTCAGATTTTATCAAATCGATATTAAGAACTGAAGACGACACATGGCTACATTAATACCTTGCCGTTTTTCAGACTCACTGATTACCGACGAAGAACCATCATCGGAGAGTTCCAAATCGTACAGAGGAAAGTGCTGCGTCTGCTGTGGTACGCCCGGTCCGTCAAACGACATTCAATTGTATGTTCTTTCGATGTCCTCGAAGTTCCATGACTTCACTCTGCAAAACCTTACAATTCTACATCACTATCTGAATAAGCTAGAACTATAAGCTATTCATCAGGACACTTTCCATAATACAGGATGAGGCTAAATACAAATTCCATAAAACATTAATGAATCCTATGTAGCTATAAAATCAAAAGATTAGTTCCTTAGCTTCAATGTCTACAGAAAGTACCAGAAGAGATAAAGCATAGGACATCTTAAAATAAATTTAATCCATAAAAACTTATTGTACAAATGGATACACAAATAAATTAGTTGAATCTGCATCATTCATGTAAATAATATAATGCAAGGATATCACGTTCTTTCGCCTGATTCTTCTGAACTCTTAAGATCAAACTTAGAAGCAAAATGAAACTTCCATCAAGATTTTTCACCTGCTCCCGCACGAATTACTAGTATTGGGAGATAGTATTTTAATGGATCGGAAAAATCTTAATACAAATTGCATTACGTGAAGTAATAGGTATCACAAAGGAACCTTTTTTTTTAAGTAAACTGCAAAACAATGCCTACCAATTTATAAAGATAATGACAGCATAAGAATAAAATAAAAAGAAAAAAAATAAAAGATGTGTGTGTGTGTGTGTGTGTGAATAATACATAAGAACGTATCAAAAAGAAACTTTGGGAACAATATGAAAGCACAGGAGGACAGATGTTGAAATCAGGAGAATAAATATAAAGTATGGGAAGTGTTCAACGTCTGAGCGTGGAAAAAAAAAGGAAAACTGATCCACTATCACTACTAAACAATCAGTAGTCTAACAGTGGAAAATGACAAAGACCCGGCAAGTTGGAATAATACGATAATTTTAGTGAGTAATGAAACAATACATGAAGAGAAGCGGGTGCTTGAAATGTGTCATAAATAGAATAAAAAATGCATAGCTTTCAAAAACAATTTGATCACTCGAAAAAAATTACAGAAAAAATTCAGAATTAAGCATGATGGAGAGTTTATAAGTAGTTCATGGCAAACAAGAGCAGAAATAAAAATACAGAAAATCATCTACATAACATTAAATGAATATACAAAATCCTAGTATATCATCCTTAAACCATAGGAAGGAAAATATTCGCTAGATTGAAGTGTTTCAAAAATGGCGTCGGGATAATAATGATATCTAACTATGAGTGATGACAAAAGTTGAATGTCAGCAGATCAAACAATTGAAACTTCGTAACAATGACTTCGGAAGAGCATTAAGGTGAAAAAAAAGAACAAGGAAGTACATGTACTATATCGAATTACTTCTGTCAAATATTTCAAAAAAATGAAGCGTAAACTAGGAAAGAATGAAACAATGGAGCAAGTGAATATAATATTTGAATTTTACCTCATTTAAATACTTTCTTCAAGCGAAAATTTCATGTATCTAATAAAATTGTAAGCGGTGACCATTTTAAATAGAGAGACTGTAACAATAACTGATTCTCGTCTAGGATTGTAAAGATTCTTGACCATATCTAATCAGACAAAAAATTTTGGGTCCTGCGACTTTTCAACATACACAAGGAAAAGAAAAAATCTAAGTATACCGCCATATACAAAATCTAGCTCAACTGGCACAATTCTAAAGAACTAAATCATAACACTATAATCATTGAATCCCACAACTACTTTTCCAACAAAATTTTCAGCAATACCGTTATGTTTCCCAAAATCTCCCATCTGGGTCTTTCGATTGCACCTTTATATCCATAAATGCAAGCTGCTAGTTTAATTTACGTGTTCCCATGCCTATGCAAAATCAAAAAATAAAAAACAAATAAACATAATTTACGGTTCCAAACAACATCTTGATGCTGTTAATTATTGACTTTCAAATTCTAAAATTTGGTAAGACAACCTAATTTGAAAATTTCTAGAGCTAAAGGATTTAATAGTCCTCATTACAAAAATTCATCCCAGCGCGTTCTTCACGTTCCTCGAATATTCGTGAAAAGCAAAAGTTCATATATACCGCCTGCAACAAAATTTTACCAATAAGCAAACCCGAATATATTAGGGTGTGGACAACAACAGAGAAATGAAAATGTTTCGAAACATCTGTTCACCCAAGCCAGTGACTTAGTGCTTTTCTACGAAAATACATCGTTTAGTCTTGGAAAGATTCCCGAAGTGCTTGATTACATTGAAGACTTTTTGTAAATTACAGTGAATTTCAAGCATTGCTCTATGCTTTTTCGTACAATTATAAGGAACTTTATCACTAACACTTTAGAGATTTTATATCATCTAAACTGGAAGGTATAAAAGTTTATTTAAGAAGGTTCAAAAAGTTAAACTTTAAAATAAAAAATAAATGCTCACAAACTGAGTGCGTAATTTGACTAATTTGGGCTTCTTTTGTGAACGAGCATATTCAAATACAAATGTAGCACCATTATCAACAACTTTGTATTCCAAAATATCAGCCCATTCGAATACCAGCTCTTCTTCCTAAATAACCTTCTTGTCATCCTTCTGTATTGTAAAATGATTCGCAAGGCAAAAATTTGACAAGATTTAATAAATTTTTTCAAACGAGTCTTATCTTTCTAAAGAATAATTAAATAGGAAACCAAACCTGCAGATTGCCCTCGTAATCGCATGCTCGTATAGTCAATTGAGAAAACTCAACTCCTAATATAATATCACCATCTTTACGACTGCCACAACCACAGTGAGGAAAAACAACTCTGTTGTAACCATCCATTGTGCGTACCATATTTAAATACTGCAAACATAATCTACTTGGACAGAGAAAGTTCCGAACGAATTTTTGTCATCGATAAAAGATACTCAAATTTTGGTTCCAAGTGTTCTAATGTTGCTGCACACATCATCATTCCAATTCTGTTTCGAGACGTTTTCACATTATAGGTCAATTTATATAAGGGTAAGCACTATTTCAAAATTAGGCAGTTGAACTACACGGGAATATTACAACATTTTTTCATGCAAAAATTAGTGACCTAATATGAAGGTGGTTCAACAATTAATTGTGTATAATAAAAAAGCACCTTATCAGCCCTTTCAATGCTCTGCAATGCTTTTAGCTGAAACATTTTTTCTTTGGCAGATACAAGGCCAGCATTCACACTTGTAATTGCTTGCCAGAAACATAATTCTTTGAATAACCTATCACTGAAAGAAAAATTAGATAAATCAGGAGATAAAAATACAATGACTACGAACAGCATTTAATCAATGATTTGAAGGAGACGATTTTTAAAGACATGCTGATGCTGAAAGTTTAAAATAGCAATAAAGTGATAAGCTCTTTCATTACCATAAATAGAAATGCATGAAGTTTTGTCAAGATGTTTTAATATGAGTTAGAAACTCAATCAACAGAGATTTCCATTTGTGGACTCATGATTTCATTCAGATGCATTTTTACTATAACACAACCATTCCAGGTTTCTTTGTCATACATTAATTACCTCTCCAAATTAAGATATAGAAAAAAAAAAGAAATACCGTCCACAAAGTTCAATTTCCTTATCGATATCAAAAATCCATTTCCGAAGTAAAATGCAAGATGACGCTGCGGACGAATAATTTTGTATATAAAGAGCATGTGGATACTCGTCATCTGCTAACTTCCGTTCTATAATTGAAGAAAAAAGAAGCAGTTCCTAAAACAGTTTAGTATCTTAGCTTACTGAAACCGTAAATCTGAAAAACCCATGAAAAGCATCTAAAAATTCTATGAAACTTTTTCCCTTTTCCTTTTCTTTCACTTTATTGAAGACAACTTATAAACTCTTAAGTAACTTGACAAAATCAGACTTATTCATTGGAAAGGTCGTTTAAACTTAAGATAACGAAAAAGAATACCGAATCCACATTCAGTCATTTCAAACAGCGCACAGTATCTAACTGCGTCTGGAGACATATTCAAACGTTTCTGGGTCGCCTGTAAGATGAATTATAAACAATTCTCTCAGGCAAATATTTTATTATAAACGTGTTCGGAAAGTTAAATCCATCGAAGCAAATGGCTTATCAGAGTTTTACTTTTTTAAGTGGTAGACTTGTTCATTAAAGCATATAACGGACTTCTATATAAGGGATAGCATACATATAATAACCTGACAAAAGCGTCGCTAACAATAAAATAATACATGAAACAAGACTTCAGCATGGAAAGCCGGGACTACAAGCAATTCTTGAGCGAACGATGAATAAAAAACATAATAGGATAAGAGGTGAAGGAGGATGAAAAATTACCATATATAATTCTATTGCTGTGCAGTGACGCTTAATATTCAACAGGAGAGAATTGCCATCTGGCAATAATATACGCATGTGCACATCAGCAACCGCACATTCTGACAATGAGTCTTCCATCAAAAATTCCTACAATAAAATTAAAGTTAGATAAATACAATAAAGCTAGATAGTAAAGTTAGATAAATTCAACGCAAGCTATTCATGCTTCAATAGCACCACATTTGAGTTCAACCAATATGCATCATTTCAATTATAAGTTGCTAACTTTCAGATTGAGTTTACTAAGCACTTCCACAGTTTTATCATAGAAATCTCAATAAGTCCTGAATTGCTCACTCTGCTGGGTCATTTTTCGGAATTGAAAAAGGAAATAATTACTTGCATAATATCGGAATCGGCTATAACTCTAACAGCACAAATCTTTTCCAAGTACGATTCCAATCCTCGTCGACGAGCATCCAGCTGTTGTTCTGATAATGAAAATGGCCATTTACTAGGCAATTTTGGAAAATCAAAATCAATAAATTCATGTTTGAGTAAATTATGCAATTGAACAAATTCATTGTAACGTCGTGATCCAAGATGTCGACCAGCCATATGTACATTGTAAGCAACAAAGCGTTCTCCATTAGCTGTTACTGTCTGATAACTTGGAATAGTTATGGGCAATGACCGTTTTTCGGAATAGTCATATCTGTAATGGATATATCTCTCATCAAATATGACCTGTTTCTTTTTTACAAAAAGACAAAAACATGTACCTTCACACTTGTAAAAAATATCTTTTCAAAGATTGCCTGCACGATGTACAACTTTCGTCAGGGAGACCATTTTCAAAACGCTCTGCATCAACAGCATTCACAGAAATCACGACTAGTGATAACTTATCACCACCATCTTTTATGAGTTCCACAACTTGTTTATGCGTTGCTCCTTCTACGTCAACACCATTTCTGCAAGATATAATAATTGTTATACGATTTAACTGTTGAGTGTAGTACGATATTATGAATAGTACCGTATATATTTGTAAATTACTTTAAAGAACGTAAAAAGTGGTGACGTTAGATTTGATATGTTGTACAAAATGCGTTAAAGCATTAAGAATATAGCATAAAATTACACTTGCAAAATGCGATCCCCCTTCAATAATCCAGCTTTCGCAGCTGCACCTCCACGAAGTACAGCACTTACGTGTTGCAAAGGTGCATACAATTCTCCGTTGATACTTCGTAACTGACCACCTTCACTCACTTGTCCCTTGACATTGAAACCAAAACCTGTACAAAGATGAAATGAAGGAAGACCATCCACTCTGCTCCTTCTACAAAAATCAGTGAGCAGTAAGAGTATGATAAAAACAAAATGGTCGAGACTAAAACGAATTACATCTTAAAGTGGACAGAAAAGAAAAACAGACAAAGGAAGAAGTTATTACCGGTGTCGGATTTAATGATTGTAACAAGGTGCGGTTTGGGGTTGAAGTTATGTCGCGTTGATACCATAAAACCGTCTTCACTCGAGTCACTCTCATCACCCATCATGCGACATCAACCACTTTATCATCTGATCCCTTTATTACATTGGTATTTAAACATCGTTCATTCCATATCACACCACAACAATTCTTCCACTTCCCGAAAAAAACCACGTATCATCGACTTATTGACCTGCCATTCCACAGCCTACAGCGGAGTATGAGGAGACCGGTCGATGTGCAAACCAATAGATCAAGTAATACTTGGCAAAATGCGTGACCTAGATAGATGGGGTAGATTTTAATGGTCTAAAAAGCGGATGTTAGATTCTTTCTGGCTCAATCGATCATTCACTGGCATTAGGAACATTTGCTATTCCAAAATGTTTCGTAGAGGTCGCTGTGCAAAATGTGCAGAGCCATTTCTGAACGAGCAAGCTATTTTGGCACGCGGACAACTGTACCACGTGAACCACTTATGCTGCAACTATTGCGATGAGCGGATATGTTATATCGAGGAAAGCTTCATCATGGACGGTATTAAAGTCGCATGTACTCGTTGCTTCGACAAACTCAGCCCCAAATGTCATAAGTGCAAAAGGTCCATTGTCAACGATTATGTCGTAAATGGTTCGTTCCTTCTACTCTTGCTTCTCTCACCCTTCTGTAGTCTGACAAACTTGAGGACATTATGTCCAATGGTCTAACAAACACCCATACTTGGTAGTTTCCTCAGACAGCCCATCTGTAACCATGTCAACGTTTAGCTGCATCGCTTTCACAAAATCAAATTCCGTACGATGAGATTTAAAAGCTTTACTCTTACATTCATACCAAAATTAATGGTTAATCCTTAAAAATATTAGCTTTCAACACTTATTTTAGGCAGATGTCTTTCGGGCTTCTTAAGCTTAAAAAAATTCAGAAAAAGATCTACTTTCCTTGTAAATTTTAACTGGGCACGCACTACAGATGGTGGCTTATATCACCTTAACTGCTTTAAATGCACCCGATGTCATCGTGTTTTGGATGTGGAATATTTTGAAGATGAAGATGGTCGTCTATTAGACAGAAAATGTGTTTGGGGCGAAGTGCTAATGGATCACATTGTTCATGATATTAATAACATTGTTCCTTCTAAATACTGATCGATTCTACATGTGATAAATGAAATACTAAGTTATGGTTGTCTTTTAATTGTAATAATCAGTATAAAACCATGAAAGGTCCCCCATCTCTTCCTGGACAACTTGATAATCAAAGAGGACGAGATCTGGATCCTCTTAAACCTTTAAATGTGAGCTTGACATGAGGAATTTAATTTCATTTACAATTTTATATCCTTGAGAATTTGAAAAGCATGAAATTACGTCGGCACAATGTTAATCGCTAAAACTACTTTGGTTTATCAGTTTATTATCATTTCTATTCATACACCCAAGTTGTTGTTGCCGAATTCCACTCACAGAGTTCTTCCGGTTTAAACCAATGAGCAATTTCACGTTCGGCTGAAGATAATGAATCTGAACCATGTATTATATTTCGTCCTGTTTGTATTGAGAAATCACCACGAATAGTGCCTGAAATAAAATTCCTTAATGAAACAAAGGAACGCCTCAAATTATACCTACACTTGACAAGTGTTCGATGGAACAGAATGATAAAATTTGTTGAGTTACCCGTCACTTCATATTGCATCTCGCTGTATTTTTTTCTAATAATCAAAAAAAATTTTCATTTCATAACACTGATTCTTTATACGATTAAGCATCACAGTACAATAAAAACTAATGTGAAGGTAATGAATCCTGACCTGGCATCGAATTTAGAGGATTTGTGGCACCAAGCATTTGTCGTGCCTGTTTAACCACGTCAAGGCCTTCCCATACCATGGCAACTACAGGTCCGGATGACATGTAATTCACTAAATCCTTGAAAAACGGTTTCCCTTGCAATTCTTCATAATGTATCTGAAATGAAAACTCCCACTAGTCAAGTTCCATTTTCGTTTGGATGCTTATGGCAAAAATTTATTTTGCTATCTTCCTACCAAGGAATTTTGAAGTCGATAGTGCGTTGTCTAGCTTCCATTGAAATCTATTCTGTCAGTACGTAGAACTATGAGAACAGAAAAGATATCTTGTAGGTGGACTTGCTTCTAAATGTGGTTTTGCAGCTTTCAGCATTTTCATAGCAACCAATTTGTATCCCCGTTGTTCGAATCGCTCAACAACTTTCCCAATCAAGCCACGCTGTACGGCATCTGGTTTAATACATATAAATGTTCGTTCCTTAGTATTTGACATCTGGCAATCGTTCTCCTTTTCTTTGCTCTCTGAAAACAACTCACTGCAGAGTGTTCCGCTCTCCCGCTTTGAAATTACATCTCGATTACGCAAATTATATCCAGTGCGCTGGCACTGATTAAATCATGCTTTGTTTTGAAATTGTGCAGAATAAAGAAACCGTTAAAAGTGTTAGAATAATTAGCAGAAGAAATAAGCCTCTGCAGTTGGGGAGATCTCTGACGAATATGTCCGATGTTTACCTAAAAAAAGGATTCAAAAAAAAATCAAAAAAGGATTCAATTCCAACTGATTACGAGATTCCGGACTAAACAAAATGGTTCAGATGACTAGCGCAGACAACTCTTGGATGTTCTGGAAGCGAAAGTGAACATGTCAGAAAAACGACTAGTAACTAGCACTATCGCCCCCATACTCGCACATACCAATGAGCTATGCAGTAAGAATAGATATATGCTGTTCTTTCTTTGTCAGACAGAGAGACTCAACTGTATGCTGTATACATTTCATGCTGTACTGAAAGGAGCATAGTGTGCAGGTAAGTAAGTATTGCCAGAACCGATGCGTGCTTATACAATCCAAGGGACCCATCCCATTTGTTCATGGCAAGTAACGACAAACCTCACAGAAGAGCCTCGAAATGGAAGTGACGAAAAAGGTGCTAGCAGTAACTTAAAATACTTTCGAAGGATGGAAGTTCCTATCTTATACCAGATTATTTCAGCCATTGAAATGACAAAGCACAATTTCCTTTTACCATCATGAGTTCCTTTAAAGTTGAATATCTGCATATAGCAAAGAAGTGACTCCAGGACCAGAAAATCATGAGAGGTACCGTTTGCAGATAGGCATGTTTCAGATTCCTGAAGTGTTAACTGGATGCAGAACAGAAGCAAGCATACTTGGAATAAATACCATTATTCTGTCGTAAAGCGAATGAATTGTACCGCTAACATACTGTTGCCACAACCTTAATCACATTTCCCTAGTAATTCATTCATTCCATAAGCACTGTCAGCTATTTCTCTTGCGTAAAACTCTCTGCACATTCCAAACTATAGGCATAGAGTTCGACGAGTGTCTTCTATCCTAACATCACGAGTGTCTTCTATCCTAACATCACTTGTAGAAACTAACGATAGCATTTAGCGTAAAATAAGTCCTGAACTACGCAATTTAATGAACTGAGAAAAGAGTCATCCATTACACATTTATCCATTCACAACAAATCAAATTCCAATGAAAACAAGTGGAAAACAAAAGGAAGAAGCAACAATAACAGCTTAGCTCATAGCTCATCGAAATTTTTAACAGCACTAAACAAAAAAACCGTGACCCTTCATATCATATCCTCTACCTGAATTTAGTAAATCAATACCATGCAACAATCTATAATACAAAGACGTGTGACAAAGTACTTAGTATGAATAACAACATGAAAATTTGACTCGTCATTCCCGACCAATTAAGCAGTAATTGCCTCTTTGAAAATAAGGCTAAAACAGACGAAAATAAAGAAAAACAAAGAACGTGACATTAAGCATAGCTTCATAATTCCATAACATATGCAGATCAGTACTAACTGCAGTCTTTTTCTGGAACAAAAGTTACATCAACCACTGAATTGTTAAAAAATCTACCATATGCCACTTTTGAACGCTCCAGAGAGAAACGAAATAAAATGTTTTAAATAACTTAAAAAAAGAAAATGATGTCAACCGTATTAATAAAAGTAGGAAGATAAATACAGCAGACAGATTTGATATTAACTCGGAACAACAAATAATTGCAAAAAGTTGAAGAATCGTAAATTGAATCCAAATTCTTGACCACGAAATTTCTATCACAGTATGCAGCGCAATGATGTATAGAAGCTACTATGAACACAGAATGCTTCAAAACGAGGGACAATTGCAAATGTCTAAGGAATTCGAACTGCTAAGAAATGAACTTCTTGGATATTAGATAGTCAAAAATACTTATACTTAGTCAAATTCTATTAGAGGAAGAAACTCTCAAGTGTGCAGACGGACAACAATAAAAATAGACATTCGAAATATGAACAGAAGAGAGAATTACTTACCTAGAGTAGAAGGTCTTTGAGTGCAATAAGTGGCGAACATCGCATGGTTGAAATAATGAGGAGAATAAGCTTGAAGTCACTAGGCAACTAAGTCACCACAATCCTTTATTTCGAATTTGCTCGACACTATCACTCATCCAGTCATGCTAAAAGGACTGCTCTCACTGACAACTCACTAGCGAATACAATCCTATTGAATTGAAGTCTTAAGCGCATAAATTACTTCCTAATGGTTTTCTAATGTTTCGTTGACGCAAAAATTGCACTTCTGAATGAAATCAAATGATTTTGTCTTCAAAAATAGAGAAAACCATATCTTCGTTGCATTAAGTGCAATCAAACGATGATATGTGAGCGTTGTACAAGTTAAGATTACAAAATTTCAGTCAATTAATTATGTTAGTTACGTACGCCTAGAATTACTGAAATACGTATCTCATAGCTCATAGCACGTGTGTAGATGTGAACTTGTGAAAGAATTTATTGAAACGATTAGTGTATGGACTCCCCTTATTAACGAATACTATCACCTGTTTTAAGTTATTGGCAAATCGCAATTAAGGAAGAGCAAGGAACTTCCAGAAAAGCTATTCTATTACTCAAAACAAAGTGCTTCCATAGACCAGCTTTCAAAAATTGTCATACGACCTAAGCGCTGGAGCAATAATACTGCACTCTTAGGAATCTCCTACCGCATCAAAGAACGGTCAGGAGATTCGAGAGTTAGAGAAACCGTCAGATTTAGACATTCAGTATGGTTCAAAATGTAGAAAGTAAGACCACATCACTGCATTCCAGGCTGGAGTACCACCCATAAACCACGTCAAGAAAGCTATGAGTCGCCAAAGACCATTGGAAACTAATTATAATTTAGAATATAGCAGCTAGAAGGGTGACTTTTTCTCTTTAATAAATAATGGAAAAAGACTGAAATTTAATGAAAATGAGTAATAATAGCATGTTAAGGAACTGGATGGTACAGTTAAACCGTGACGACAGTTAACTAACATAACTAAAGGGAGAAGGCTGTGAATGTTATTCACCACAAGACCGATGCGTGGATGACAGATTAAACATTGGATGACCTGTCGTGAACGGACGCTTTCATGGAGATTTAATAACACTATACTGACGATAACCCACTCCCAATCTTCCCTAGGTCGAACACTTCACCAATTGTCATCCAAAGTTGAGCCTAAACCACTATGCAGCGAAATTTAAACCATCACCAGTAAACATTATGAAAATCCAACGTTTTGACGATGAAGAACTGTGGGTTGGCAGAGACAAATGAAGACACCGATTTGCGCAGTCTGCTGATGAGCTGTGAATGGTGTCTTAATGAATTCAGAGATGGAAGTGTTAATGAATTCAGGTCACTCTTCTCAAGAAAGATACTGAAATGAAGAGAATTACCCATGATATGGTGACCTTTCTCCTTCCTATTTGCCATCAGCGTAGCACTTGGAAAACATTAGCATTTGATCCTTTGCTTTGTTCCCCATCCTCAATAATATTTTCAAAAGATATTTTTTAATTTATACGGTAAGATTTCAATAATTTCACCGATTAATCGAAATGAATTGGCTATGAATAGTGGAAGAAATATTATGGATATCGTCCCTTACTTCTCATTCTTTGACTTCTTTATTACTTCTGTTACAAGACTTTATTATTTTTGAAAATCAAATTACAAATTATATCCGAATTTGATTTCATTGCATGGATGAGTAAGTAGTGTTTAAAAATACTTTCTATTTGGATTTTCTGGTCCTTTTTTTTGAGGACCAAGAAGTTGCGAATGATTATCGAAGGAAGAGGTTAATGAAATTTTTTAAGAAAAGTAATGAGTATCAGTATTTGGAAACGAGTCGAACCAATGAATGAAGATTGAACTTGCAATAAGTAAAAGTTGAATCTTTGTCATTCACAAACCAGTAAGGTGTAAAATGTCAGAATGATACTATCAATGTTGCTAGTTGGATCCATTTCAAGAAACGTTTTTCGTTATTTTGCAAATGCTTAACTCGGATCGCTATGAAGTCGCTTATGTGACGGAAATTTTGATGCAGTACTCACTAGTTCTTTTCTCTGTTGGAGTTAAACTACACATTGTCACTGGCAAAAAGCATCGAGAAGCATCAAATATTTCTTCGATAATTGAAAGCATAGTGCTGTGCATCACATCCTTGCGATTGCTATTCATCGAAACGACTACTGCGGTAATTTTTGATTTTAAAGCTACTCAGAAATGTGAAAAAATGTGACATTTGGAAAGTCGACTGTACTTTTCAAGTTTATTACATATGCGACGAGTCCTTTATAGCTAGAACATTTTGATATCCTCAGTTGAAAGCAACCCTGGCCCAAATTTTCAAACAACACTGATCTCTTTCTGCTGCACCTGTAGTCCTTCCTTCTCTGTGGCTGGCCATTATCTTCCAAATTAATTTGATGACGAAAATCTTCAGGTTTTAATGTTTTCTGTGTTTGAGTAATGCTTCTATTGATGACATCATCGTTAACAGTCTTTTTGTATTTCATACAAAAGGTAACACTTTGCATTTCACTGATCGACCAAAAAAAAAAAAAAAAAAATGCTTTAATTAGAATTCTAAAGTTTCTTCAGAATTCTAATTAAGAGATAGGAAAAATGGAGTTTTTGAAGCACGAAATGGGGTTTTCAAAAAAATTCTTTCGCCTCTAATCAACAGCTATTTAACAGTTGGTAAAATGAAACAGAAAGACTTTATCTAAATTCATAGCTTTCTGGAACTTCATTTTGTCGAATGTTTGCTAAAAATCCATGGAGTTTGACGGAATAAGTTAATTATACATTGTGCATCTTTTTAGAGCTTATTCTTTTCTCATTCTGGATATATGAGAGGAATCGAGAATCCTGTCGTTATGTTCATAGCAGGTAAGTTATGCATCCTGCTCAGTGATATTATGAAATTAACCTACAACGCTGATAGCTATTAAATTCGCAGCATTGAACTGAATAGCTAAGATCGTTTTCCTTCATCTCTGTTGTCCTTTTTCCTACTTTCCCCTTTCACATCCTTACCTTACTAATAAGGCATTTTAAAAAAAGATTTAAGCCATTATTTTGCACTGCTAGTCTTTTTTAAAAGCTCATTTACCCAACGATAAAAAGGTTCATTTTTTTCAATAAACTGCAGTTCACTGTATCAGACGAAGATGATTGGAAAGATAGCTCTGTTCGGATATGCAAAAGTAGTTTGTAATTTTCATGGCAAATGAAATTTAGCAATATGAAATGAGGCATTTAAATTTTCAACTTTTCAGAAGCTGCACTGTACATTTATTTGGTGTGATCAGCCAAATATATGATATAAGAGAAAGAAGCTATGAACGCTGCATTTAATCACTCTTTCAAGTTCCTGAAATAGCACTTCCAATGAATCAGGTTGTCTGTGATTGATTTTGCTGTCTGAGAAAGCGATATGTTTGTGTCCATGCCTTCATACATCCACTATTGCCTTTAGGCCACTGTGTAGGCCCTTCTCACCCAATCATCTACTTGCAATCTATTTAAGACTTGTTTTACTCCAGGCTCCGTCGGCCATAGAGAGGAAGATTCAGAGACGGAAAGGAGTCAGTCAGAAAAATCGGATTTTCTTTAGCAGCATTTTCCTTTTTCCATGCTCTTCTAAAGCTGCACTCATTTCTGAATAGCTCAATCTTATAAAAGCATATGAGACGTTGACACAGATGTTATTTTTACTTCTATATTAATGCGATGTGATGTTTGTACCTTCCAACTGATTGTTTAATAATGGGCGCTTGTCGATTATTCTTTTTTCCTTCCGAGCACTACCACTCCCGTTTCCGTTTATTCAGCCTTCGTAAGGACTCTCTTTAGATGCAGAAATGTTCAGATGGAAAAAAAAAAGATTTTTTTCAAGCCGATCTATGACGACGATGTGGCGTTTGCTCTTACCTTAAAATTAACGATAAAATAGTACATTGTTTGTGATCTGTCAGTTTTCTATAAATGACGTGATATAATACCAATGTTTTGCCATATCGATTTATGCTCAGAAACTTTTGATCGTTTCATTACAAACCATTAAGCATTAAGAATCATTCCTACATAGCTCTATCTTCCTTCTGTAAAGTAGTCTCACTCTTTAGCAGTATTGCTTATATAGAAGTCACTCTTGGTCAATTTCACAAATCCATCACGCACTTTTCTTCCCTCCTTTTCTCTTCTCTTCTCTATTGCTTCGCTCTCCTGAAAAAAAAAGTTAAAAATTTGATCGGTTTACATACTTAAATTCCGATTAGAAGATATCTGTTAAAATTATTTCCTTAAATTTCAAATGATAAGTTGAATGGATAACAATCTTTAACAAAGCTGGCTTATCACTTTTTTTTGTATACCTTTTACTGGCTTCATTTTACTCCGATTTTGCCTCATTGAATAGTTATGTTAAAACTAGACTTATCCAGCCTCCAACTTCCCTGCAGTTTACCAATCTGAAATTGAAAAAGCAGGAAGCATAAGAAATGATTAAATCTTAGGCCAGGTCATCATTAATTCATCTATCGTGCTGTCAATCCAGTTTATGTGACTTGTAAGAATCGACAATTTATTAGCATATAAATCCTTCCATTACCTTTAATGATCCACCTGTTCTGCATATTTCATCAGGTAGTTCGAAATGATGCAACGCCTATTCATTTCATTTTCATCGACAACAAAAGGGGTAATCAACTGTCATCAAGCGTTACGATTATGGATGGAAGTACTGCTCACTGTATACTTCCTGCCATTTTGTAACACGGTGAAATGTTTGGATTGTGTCGGTAAAGACTGCATGGGGACATTTTGCGAGGGTGACTATTGCATTCTCGGAACGTATGCGCCGCGATGGGGAACCATTGAATGGGGAGAACCACGCACTGTTAAAGGTTGTATAAGTGGACGAATGCTGGAAAAAAATATCAGAAGTCACTGTGAGACTGCTGATGAAGATGGCGAGGTATTGCTTTCTATTTCATTGTTAATAATACACAACGTAAAAGATTGAATGACAATTTGGAACAACTAAGCCAAAACATTAGGTTACTGAAAACATTGAATAGGTGACATCATTTAATTATGCTTTCAAATTAGTGGAATATTCGTTCAACAACTACATATCAAGAAATCCTTTCATGGTAGAAAATACAAAAGCTAATGAAATTAAGATGGATTAAATTGTTTTTCTGCGTTAAGAATCTGGAAAAATTCCCTTTCGCAATTTTATTTAGAGCATTAAAATCAACTGCCCATCTTCCTTTACAAATGTGGACGATTTTTGCAGACATTGTATGACGAATAGTTAGTCTCATTTTACATTCTAATATCACCCAAAGCAGTGATATTGATATATAAGTTTAAGAAAATATTATAGATTTACTTTGTTCATAGCAGACTGCTCAGAAAAGAATCATCAACGGAAACATTAGGATTTTTATAGGAGTCCATTTTTGAAAACCTGTGGTTGTCACAGCCTAGAGTACTTATCCGGTCATTCTGTTTTCAACGAAATTTCGCACCTTCTTTGATATGACAAACTTTAAGAAAAAGAGAAAAAAGAAAAAGGACTGATGCATTAGTCCGATTAATTTTTCCACTTGGTAAAATAATAAATGTTGCCAATCAGATGAAACAAAAACGACATGAAGTAGAGATTTGTGGATGTGAAGTATTCAAAGCCTTTATAATATCTGAGGAAGATAAGCTAGTTATTATCAAGATTTTACAGGAACCATTTACCTGCTTTTGTGACAAAGACTACTGCAACAATGACAAGGCGATTCGACGATTGGAGGCTGCACCAGTACCTCTCATCACGTGTGTGTGCAAAGGGGCTCATTGTGAGAGTAAAACCTGTATTGGTGAGATGTGTTCCTACGTCGTCAACCATCGCACTAAAAAGTCTGAACAGGTTATTTTCTTCCTTCTCCATCTCAGAATCTTCAAAGGTGGCAGACTTTAAAATTGAAAACAGAAATATGAAAGACAAACTAAACTGCTTTAAACTGCTTTTGTGTCTAAATTTTAAAACATATTTAAAGCTATCAAAATATTGCTGATTTATTCGGAAACATGGAAATCTAACTGAAATAGCTAATTAGTCCGAGGAAGCATTTTGAATTACTGGTTTTCAGGAAAGTTGAGCATTTTTTTACAATTTTCATGTTCCTTACACTGAAAGACAAGTTCTCGGGAATGGGCATTATATCGAAATGCTAAAGTTTTAAAGCAGTGTCGTGTGAAAGTTCTATTAGTTAGACCAAGCTTCGCAAAACGATAACCGCCAGCACATTCTTATTGCGAAGTTCACAAAAAATGCAAAATGTTTCTAGGGATGTGTAAATGCCTCAGTGCCGTTAATCGAGAGGAGATCAGCAGGTTCTTGCATGATCCCGCCTATTACCGGTGCTATGCATCATACGGTTTCCAAGGATCCACATGAATTACTCGCAACGGAAGCATGTATATGCATGACTGATTATTGTAACAGTGAGAAACCGGAAATTACGCAACCAGAAAAAATGAAGTGTCAGACATTCGTTACACTGGAAGCAGTAGGAACTAAGGTAATAGTTCGGTAAATAATCGAAGTTATTATGTAGAAGGTTGTTCTCTTACTTATCACTTGAAAATAATGGTAAACAGAGGAATGATAAAAAGAAGTATGATTTCATCTACCGAACAAAAAGTTCAGGAGTTCAGAATCTGTTCAATTTTTCGAAGCTTCTGAGAGATATGACTGTATTATAATTAAATTTTATTTTGTTATTGCTTCTGATATATTCTAATCTGATATTCAGGAACTTCATGAGGGAATGGTAAAATCAATATCGCACATTCAGTCACTTTAATGAGCTAGATCCATGAAAAGGTGAAAAAACATCTATTCATCCGCGCGCGCTAAATTTCCGGATCCATTGGACTGGATATAGACCATTTCTCAGTCAATAAATTGTCGTCGAAGAAGATCAATATTGATAATATCTTCGTCTACATTCCATTGATTTGACATATTTTGTAGGTGTCATCACGAAATACAACTTGTACCGGCGAATTTTGTTTCAAAGCTTCCATCAAAAGTAAGCTCGGTCATATGACGGAATATAAAACGATGGGTTGTGCATCATTTCTAGATGGAGCTGAACTTGCTGAAGAAATGCAGCCGACGGGTTGTGCACGATTCGAATCTGAAAAAGTGGAAGTTGAGTCTTGTTTTCAGGTAATTTATTTGTTTTACATGTGTGATAAACAGTTACAGTTAATCTTCAACAAAAATATGGGGATATTGCACTGATGAGCGGTCTCGGCAATATTGGATAGCTTGTTTAAAGTTTTCGAGTGTTACCAGAGAGTTCGTTTACCTTTCGATGCCCGTATTTATAACTTTTCTATCAACGATTATAATTTAGACTAACGACAGGCGCGCGATAGGAAGAGCTCGAGCAAATCAGGAAACCGTTTTACCGAGAGCAAAAAGCAAAGAACCAAATTACAGGAAAACAATAAAGTAGATTTACATCAAATTTGTCTTTTTCCAAAATATATAAATTGATGATTACACGAACCGATGACAATAATTTCAGTGATTTTAGGAAACCGCCTAAAATGGAGGTAGATTATGAAGATGACGACAAAGAAGAGGAAGAAAGAGAGGAGGAAAATAAAGGAGAGGAGAAAGAATCGAGAAGAAAACAAAAGGCAGCAAGTAAATGCCTCCTTTATGTTTTCTTGACCTTTTTTGAAATTGAATAACAGGATCAATTTAACGATCTCAACATGAAAAGTTTATTTATAAAAAGTACTCTTGAAGTTGGTATAATAATGCTTTTAGTGCTGGAAAGATCTTATTGCATTAGCTTCAAAAATTGTTCCGAAAACTGTTTTAGCTAGAGAGAATGAAGTTCTTACCATCCTTCCTTTCAATCTCGCCTAATCTATGTTTTAACTTATCACTAATATAACAATTTTGCAATTCTTGTTTTGACGGGAAAATTTCTTCCTGATGTCAGTTCTAAACTTTGATTTGAACAAAACGTCATCAACAGTCAGGAAGGAGAACAATCGGATGGCAGAGTTCCAACTATAAAATTGGAAGTCCCGGTAATATCTGGAGTTTTTAGCTCTTTAGATCATTCGAGATATTAAGTGACAAATAGCCCAAAAAGGCAACATAACTTTTCCAGACTTCGCTTTTTCCCATGCACGTTCGAAATCTAATTTCCAAAACTAGACAGGTTTTCCTGAATATCATTGTGACGGATTATGCTGTATGCTGCTGGGTAATCTGTATTTATTTTAGTAAGATCCAAGAAACCGGAAGAAACCGCGCTTTTCCAAAAACCTGGTAACACCTGAAAAATCAAAAATTTGTGGCACCCTAGAGACAGTATCAGCAAATGTTTGAACCATTTAGTTCAAAGTTCTCCGATTTACGATTTATCTGTATAAGAGCGAGAATGCCCAGCTACCGAAGGATTTGGTGTCTCTCGGACAGTTGGTAGGAGAGTGACTGCACGTATACTTATCAGTTGTAGAAAAAACAAAGCATAATTTTTACGGTAAGATGTGAATTCGTTGAAGGGATATGGGCTACGTTAAATTTTCCAAAGTCTGAACTTTTTCGCATAAATCTGATCTTGGATATGTAATGTGTATATCGGGTAAAATCAATGATTCAGGTCAAGACCGTAAGAAAGAAAGAGGAAAAGAAGACAGGAAGGAAGAGGAAGATGAAATTGGAGGTGGAGAACACGAGGACGAAGGGAAGATGGATGATAAAAAGGAAAAAGGAAAAAGCAAAGGAGCTGCAGGAAATGGAGAAAAGAAGGAGAAGGGGAAGGAAGAGGAGGAGGAGGAGGAGGAGGAGGAAGAGGAAGAAGAGGAAGAGGAGAATGCGAAAGAAGATAGCGAACAGAATGAAAGAAAGATTAAAAATAACAAGGAGGTATAAGTAATGTTAGATTCTTTTTTTCATTTTTCATGCTTCGTTCATCTGTATGACGTTGATGTTAATTTCGTAGGTATTTAGAATGAAAGAATATCAATGGGAGTGATCCGTTTTGATCCATTTGTCACTAAATATTTCGTTTTCACTATTACATTTCTAATTCTCACAAAATAGAACAATCTAAAATAGGTCCAGAAAGTACAGAAAGTACTAGGGAGTACTTATATTCTTGTTGATTATTCTCTATTTTTTTTTTTCTCGACCTCTCCATTCAACATCCTTACAATAATTCATATTTATTTCTAGACGACAACAGCAATTTTCATATTCGAGAAGCCAACAGAACCACCAATTCCTGATGATTCAAATATAACACTGATAACGATATTCATTTTACTTATGGTACTCATAGTAATGTCTGGTGCGGTATGGAAACTTCAGTTACACAAACGACTATTTCGCGCAAACTACGACACTGTAGCGGGCGGTTAATCTATTCTGTTAATCCATTTCATCTTACTTAGGCTTTTCACTTGAAGTAATAAGGGACGATGCAATTTTTTCATGTCAAATAGAATGCTGAAATGTTGCAAACTGATCAGGGGACATTTCTGATTCTGCTTTAATTTCATTTTTTTCTAGAATTTAAACTTCTTCAAATTGACAAAGTGATGACGTTTCCCGATGTTTGGTTACCTTCGTTCATGTATTATCCCCATTTGATTGTTTTATGAAATGTAATCTTTTTTCCATTTATAATTAATCCATTATTTGTAACATTTTGCAGTAACGCCACTTTTATACATATAATACAGCTGCTGTCGCATGAATATTGTTAAAGCAGAATAGCCGTATCCCCTGCTTGCCATTTCATCTTATTTTTTATTCTTGAAATCAGTCGGGCCCGTTAACGGTTCAAGGCGAACTGATGGAAGTATAAATGTCGATACTTACGAATATCTCGAATTTTTTAAGAAACCGAGTTTAAAACCTCTTCTATGTTTCGGATTGAACCGCTTTTACGGTGCTTGTTATTATGTAGCCTGTATAATTATTAATTCGGAATTATGCCGTTTAAAATAGATTATTTATGATAATACACTACAGTAACTGAGTTATCGTCCTCACCAATTTGCACATTCGGTTAGGTTCGGTTCCCATCAAAATATAAAAACGAATTTCCAGAGTTTTTCCCAAATTCAAGTCTATTACGAATCCATAGGAAAACAATGCGCAAATATTGCCACCCACACACAGCAGAATAGCCATTGAAACATTTCTTTCGCAAAAAAGTGAGTTGTATCTGGTATATCAATTAGACTGATAACCATGATCTCGCTTTATATTCACCAAACTTATGCATTTTGCAATAACGAGTTATTTTGTTTTAGTAATTGTTATCATTGCCTCCAGTTACGCCTCAAAACATGAATAAACATTAGGAATAACTGCCATGAAATGAATAAATAAGTTGCCCACAAGTCCCAGTTCACTTCTTCCCATGAAAATCAAGACTGAAAGTGTTTGATTTCTTGCGTAAGAATAAGAAATTTGAAACTGGAACGGTAAATTTTGTAATATAATGACAATATGAGGCTGTTTCAAGCTCCTTAAGCTGGAATCTAAGATTACGTAGTGTGGTTGTGAAGAAATTGCATAAAACAGTTTTCTAGTCGTTCACCTGATGAAGATGAGGTTAATGCCAAATTTCATTGTAGTTTGTTTAACTGTTGAATAAATTTAGAAAAATCGGCAAAGAGTTTGATCTGATTAGCAGGACCAAAGAACAAACCCTAATAATTCAAATTACTCTCGCTGTATAACCTTTGAAACAGTCCTTTACAAAATTATATTTGGACAAAGAATATTATACAACGATAAATTACTGTTACCCACAGACGATTGACGTCACATAAAATCTTATATTATATAGATAATGAACGTCACAACACATGATTTTGTATATTTATATCCAAAAACCAATGGTTCCGCATAATTAAAAGTCCAAAGCAAACGTTGTCGCGAATTTCAATATCGCGAAATTCCAAATAAATAATAAAATAAATTTCTTATTCAAATTGTAAATGAATGTTAACAACATTACAAATCATTTAATCATTTTTTATTCCTTACATTTATTTCCTATTAATTTCCCATGTTTTTTCTGTTTTATTCTAAGCTCATCGTTTT